GTTTCGGTGCTTGATCGGTCGGGCCATGAAGACGTACAACTACATCAACCGCGTTGTTCTAACGCTTCCGTTTTCGGTCTACGAGGGTACGTGGACAACACTTTCCCCTCTCGTTGCTATGCATCACCATGATTTTGCGTGTGCGTAGGAATTTTTTTGAAATTACTACGTTCCCCAACAGATTTCTGGATCGATCACCTTCTGAGAGATTGCATTAAGGAATGAACATAGCTTCACAATGGCTAATCGAACGTTTTTTGGTAGAAGGCCCCTCAATGCAACCGGAAGCAGTTGTGTCATAATCATGTGGCAGTCATGAGACTTTAGGTTCTGGAACTTTTTCTCTGCCATATTTATTATTCCCTTTATATTCGACGAGTAGCCAGACGGGACCTTCATACTGAGCAGGCATTCAAAGAAGATTTCCTTCTCTTCTTTGGTAAGAGCGTAGCAGGCAGGACCTTCATACTGCTTTGGAGGCATGCCGTCTTTTTCGTGCAAACGTTGCAGGTCCTCCCGTGCCTCTGCTATATCTTTTGTCTTCCCATACACACCCAAGAAACTTAGCAGGTTCACGCAAAGGTTCTTCGTCACGTGCATCACGTCGATTGAAGAGCGGACCTCTAGGTCTTTCCAGTAGGGTAGGCCCTAAAATATAGATTTCTTCTTCCACATGGGTGCGTGTCCCGCAGCGTCACTCGGAACAGATAGTCCGTCGGGATCCTTTCCGAAGATTACTTTTAAATCATTGACCATAGCAAGTACGTGATCACTGGTACGCATGGCAGGCTTCTTCCGGTGATCTGCCTCTCCTTTGAAGTATTGGTCTTTCTTACGACATTGATGGTTGGTCGGAAGGAATCGACGATGCCCCAGGTAAACATTCTTCTTGTATTTTTCCAGGTATATACTTTCGGTGTCATCTAAACAGTGCGTGCATGCATGGTATCCCTTGTTTGTCTGTCCTGAAAAGTTACTGAGAGCAGGCCAATCATTAATGGTGACGAATAGCAACGCATGCAGGTCAAATTCCTCCTGTTTGTGCTCATCCCACACACATACATTGTTTCCAATCCACAACTGTAAAAGTTCTTCAACTAATGGCCTTAGGTACACATCAATGTCGTTGCTGGGTTGCTTAGGGCCTTGGATGAGAACTGGCATCATAATGAACTTCCGCTTCATGCACAACCAAGGAGGAAGGTTATAGATACATAGAGTCACGGACCAGGTGATGTGATTGCTACTCTGCTCCCCGAAAGGATTAATGCCATCCGCGCTTAAACCAAACCATACATTTCTTGCGTCACCTGCAAACTCCTCCCAGTACTTTCTCTCAATTTTTCTCCACTGCGACCCATCAGCGGGTGCTCTCAACTTCTCTCTTTCTTACGGTCATCTCTGTGCCATCGCATCGACTTAGCATGCTCTTTGTTTCTGAACAGGCGTTTCAACCGTGGTATTATAGGAGCATACCATATCACCTTGGCAGGAACCCTCTTCCGGGGGCGCTCACCGTCAACATCACCAGGGTCATCCCGTCTGATCTTATACCGCAATGCACCACATACCGGGCATGCGTTCAAATCCTCGTACGCACCACGGTACAGGATCAGTCATTAGGACATGCATGTATCTTCTGCACCTCCAATCCTAGAGGCAAACAACCTTCTTTGTTGCATACGTACTGTCGGGCAATTTGTTATCCTTTGGAAGCTTCATCTTCAATATTTTCAGTAGCTTCTCAAATCCTTTGTCAGACACATCATTCTCTGCCTTCCACTGCAGCAATTCCAGTATGGTACCGAGCTTTGTGTTGCCATCTTCACAATTGGGGTACAAACCTTTTTTGTGATCCTTTAGCATGCGATCGAACTTCACCTTCTCCTTTTCACTTTCGCACTGACTCCTTGCATCAACAATGACCCGGCGGAGATCATCATCGGGCACATCGTCTGGTTCCTCTTGATCTTCAACAACTTCCCCCGTTGCAGCATCACCGTATTCAGGGGGCACATAGTTGTCATCGTCCTCTTCTTCTTCGTTGTCTTCCATCATAACCCCTATTTCTCCGTGCTTGGTCCAAACACTATAGTGTGGCATGAAACCCTTCTCAAGTAGGTGGATGTGAAGGGTTTTCCAGTTAGAGTAAGACGTTGTATTCTCACAGATAGGGCATGGACAACACATAAAACCATTCTGCTTGTTTGCCTCAGCCACTTCGAGAAAACCATGCACGCCCTTAATGTACTCGGTGGTGTGTCTGTCACCGTACATCCATTGTCGGTTCATCTGCGTGCATTATATATAATTAAGTGTGTCAAAAACCATTACAGAACATCATGAATAGATAATTAAGTGACCAAATTAATATAAGTTTATCATCACATTAAAACCAAAGTACATACATAGTTCTCATCTAACAACATATAGCTCTCAGAGCATCTAATTAATTAAACCATACATTGAAACTATGTAAAACATTTCAATGCGAAAACAAATGCGATCATAATCGCAACCAAGGTAACAATTGATCCAACGGCATAATAATACCAAGCCTCGGTATGAATGGCATATTTTCTAATCTTTCTAATCTTCAAGCGCATTACATCCATCTTGATCTTGTGATTATCGACGGCATCCGCAACATGCAACTCCAATATCATCTTCTCCTCCTCAATTTTTTTATTTTTTCCTTCAAGAAATTGTTTTCTTCTTCAACTAAATTTAACCTCTCGACAATAGGGTCGGTTGGAATTTCCGGTTCACATACCTCCTAGGTAAATAAAATCTATGTCACGTTGGTCGGCATAATTGTCATAAACAATAAATGAAGCAAATAGTTATAAAGATAATATATACCACATCCAAATCATAGACAGGATGAGGGCCGACGGGAGCGGATACCAAAAACATCGCACTAAATAATAAGAAGCAATAATAAAAGTAAGAAAATTATACAACTATCTATATAAACATACAAGTAAGAATTTTTTTTCCTTTCAGAAAGAAGATAAGAACAAGAGGCTCACCATGGTGGTGCCGACGACGAGATCGGCGCGGGCGATCGACAGCGGTGAAGACGGGGACGGGACATGACGAACCGCTAAACCTAGACAAATATTGAGAAAAATGGAGTTTGGAGGTCGAGCTTGGAGAGGAGAAAGCTTAAGTAGTGTGGCTCGGGCATTCCATCAAACACCTAGTGTGCATCGGAGGTGAGCTAGAGCACCACAAAACTCTCAAACGGCCGGCCAGAAAAACAGAGCAGTGGAGTGCTCTGCTCGCGGGCGAGGGTTATATATAGGCAACTCATTGGTCCCGGTTCGTGGCATGAACCGAGACTAAAGGACACCCTTTGGTCCCGGTTCAAGCCGCCAACCGGTACCACTGATGGTGGGCCAGGAGCGAGGACCATTGGTCCCAGTTCGTCCCACCAATCGGGACCAAAGGGTCCAGACGAACCGGGACCAATTCCCCCACGAGGCCCGTCAGACCCCTGGTCTCACGAACCGGAACCAATGGGCCTATGGGTCCCGGTTTGTGACTGAACCGGGACTAATGGGCTGACCTCGCCTGAACGTATGCCCTGTTTTCTACTAGTGCTATCTCGCTCATGCAACGATAATTGATAGACCTACACAACAACAAAGAAGCTTGCTGGCGCGGCTATTTAAGCCGGTCGGCGTTCGCCTTGCCCGGCGATATGAAACTAAAATTTCAGTGCGCCGATTTGAGGGGACGGAGTTTCAGTCGCTGCAGGTGGGACTGCTACGACCTGCAGCGGGGTCGGCAGACGCGCCTGAGCACCCCATATCCATCCCATATTTGGGTTGAATAGTCCGGACGTTTGAGACCCGTTTGAGACGCCCGGCAAGATCGAAATTTCGTGACTGGTCAGTGACCGGGCGGTCCCCCCAGACATTTGAGGAGGGTTTGTGATGCCCAACTAGATGCTCTAAGAGAGACGAACCAACATGTGGTTGGATGGTTAAAGGAACTGTGGTATCCCCAGCCCATCAGGGTTCAAATTCTGGTGCTCGCATTTATTCCTGGATTTATTTCAGTACTTCCGGCGATGCGCATTCAGTGGGAGGAGACATTCCCGTCGACGACGAGGTGCCTACCGTGACTTCATAAATTTCAAGATAATATGCCGGCTCAGTGTTTCGAAGGTGCTCATAGGGATAGGGTGTGCGTGTGTGCGTTCATAGGGGTGAGTGTATGCGCGTGTATATAAGCGCTTGCGTCTGTACCGTGTTAAAAAAATGCTCTAAGAGAGGATAACCGAATTTATCATCCCCTACGATCTTATTGAAGATCGGTTAGAAATACGAGCATATCCACAGTATGCGAGGACAAAAAATAGCAGGAAAAAGGAACCGGACCGCACAAGAAACCCAAATCTGTACTCGTGCGCCAACCAACCGCGGGCGGCCGGCTACCGACTCCGTCGCCCTTTTCCGCCGTCATCATCAAATCAATCATCGAATCACCAAACAAACAAGCGTCCAACAGAAACCTCTCTTCGCTTCTACGAAACACCTCCCCGTCCCGATACGCGATCTCCGTCCCACCACGCCGCCACCTGGCCGCGATCACCACGCCGGTATATAGGACGATCGAGATGCCGGCGGGTCGTCCTCTCCTCACGTTACGTCGATCCCCTCCACCGGTTTTTTAATCCCGCCCCATTTCTTTATCCGGATCGGGGATCATCGCCCTATCATTCTTTACCTGCCCTGCCGGCCCGGTGGTTGCACCGATCGGGAGGGACACAGCGAATGGAAGCCGCGGCAGCAGCGCCTCGTTTGACCTACCGCTCTATACTACTCTGAGCCCGTACGGGGGATCGCTGGATGCCCACGTTGCCCGTCCGTCCGTCCGTCCGTCCATGGAGCGCAGGTCAAAAGAAAAGAATAGTTCAACAGCCATAGATGGGGCCGTAGTTGCCGTGTTGCTGGACTTGGAGGCACCTCCCCTTCTACGACAGGCCACCAATGGAGACGCGCCCGGAGCGTAATGGTGGCGCGTTCTTGATCGACCGGGCGGCGGAGATGGACGGCCCTTACGTCGCCGTCGTCGGTCAGACGGGCGGCAGCGAGGGCAGGGTCGGCGCGACCAACATCGGGAGGCTGCGGCAGGGGAAGGCGGCCAGGGGCGGCGCCAACGTCACCTCATGGCACCTCAGGGTGTTCGCCGTGGTGGTCGGGGTCATGGGCTGCCTCCTGCTCGCCGCCTCCCTCGTCATGTCCGCGCTTCATCAGGTGCAGTTCCGGAACGGCGCCATCTCCGTCAACTTCAGGGGCCTCCAGGTATGCATATGCTGCCGCCTCCGATCAAATTCAGAAAAAAAAAACGCATGTTCGATCATGATCACGTGCATATCTCTGATGCCCCTGGGTTTTCTTTTCTATCGCGTCTGAATTTGATCTTCCTCTCCGATTTTACGATGGCTGTGCTCGTTCATACCGTCGCAGACTGACCTAAACATTTTGAATTTCTTCACCTGTTCTGTCGACCTGATGAATCCATTTCTGTGAAAGAAGGAGCTCAAGCAGAATTTCGTCAGGAAGGAGCAGTCGGAGCAGATAATGCATGAAAGACTTTTACAGATGGCAACTTTGGCCACCTCGAAGGTTTGATTCAGACATCATAGCCATTACCACTAGTTACTTTCTGAAACTGTATTTGGGAACTTGGTATATCTGTTACTTTTACTGATGCTGCACCTTTCCCTTCCTGCCAGTGCAGAACGAGTCAGATAGTGGAAATTTCGCATTATGGGAGGAACCCTACAAACAGGCGAGCAAATGGACGCCCTGTGCCGCCAAATACACCTTGGAAGAAGGTGAAGCTTCATTCAAGCAAGTCCAAATAGTTACTCCTACTTCACTTTTCTAGTTTTTTTGCTGCCTGACACTGAATTTGGTTGATCTCAGAGCCTAGCGAGAACAACAATGGCTTCATTCTGATCAGCGCAAACGGTGGCCTGAACCAACAGCGTGTCGCCGTAAGGATATAGTGCTTGGATCCCCACAAGATCAGTTCTGTTTCGATACGTATTTAGCCCCTAAACGAGCTTCATTCTTCCAGGTGTGCAATGCCGTTGTGGTTGCAGCTCTGCTTAATGCCACGCTAGTTCTGCCCCGGTTTCTTCACAGCAGCGTGTGGAAGGACAAAAGGTTAGAACTTTTAACTGAACCGTGTGACAAATACGAGTACGTACTTGTAGTAGTTACTCATTTTTTCTCCAACATTAGTAGGCATTCATCAAACTGTAGAGTTAACTGAATTTCTCCTTTTCTACCAGTCAGTTCGGTGACATCTACCAGGAAGACTACTTCCTGAACTACATGAAGAACGATGTGCTCATCGTGAAAGATTTACCACACCATCTTCAGTCGCTGGATCTCGAGGCAATCGGTAGCCAAGTCAGTGCCTGAACCCACGTCCTAAAAGTTCAGACTGTTTTGTTTCTTCAGTCCCGTTTATTCATCTCACTCGTCCCCTCTATCACAGATCACCGATAACGACATCTCGAAAGAGGCTGAACCATCTGAATTCATCAGAACTGCACTTCCCGTTCTTCAGACAAATGGCGTCGTTCATTTCCTCGGATTCGGCAACCGGCTCGGCTTCGACTCGGTGCCTGCCGATCTGCAGGTAACATTTCATCCCCCTTGGCATTATTTATCAGATGAACCGATGAACAATGTACATACAATGCACCACTGTCATCAACACGCCCTGTTGTTTCATCATCAGATGTTTGTTTGGCTTTGCAGAGGCTGCGATGCAGATGCAACTTCCACGCTCTCAAGTTCGCCCCCGAGATCCAGAAGCTGGGCTCGCTGCTGGTCCAGCGGCTGCGGGGGGTGAGCGCGATGCAGACGGAGATGGACAAGCAGCTCTTCGGAAGCAACATGCTGGACCAGCCGTTCGGGGATAAGCGCACCGACAACGTCGGCGGGCCGAGCAGGTACCTCGCTCTGCACATGAGGTTCGAGATGGACATGGTCGCCTACTCCCTCTGCGAGTTCGGCGGCGGCGACGATGAGAGGAGGGAACTGCAGGCCTTCAGGGAGACCCACTTCCCGGCCCTCGTGACGCGCCTCCGGAACACGTAAGCGCGCACGTCGCCATTGCCGCATGCTATGCTGGCTGATCACGCTGTTCTACGCTGACATTATGTTGCTGCGGTGATTTTATTGTGTATCGCCAGCACGGTGTCGCCGGAGGACCTGCGGAGCCAGGGGAGGTGCCCGCTGACGCCTGAGGAAGCCGGGCTCATCCTCGCCGCGCTCGGCTACGACCGCGGGACGTTCATCTACGTGGCCGGGTCGCAGATATACGGCGGCGCGACACGGCTGCGCCCTCTCACGCGGCTCTACCCGAACCTGGTCACCAAGGAAGACATCCTCTCCTCCGACGAGCTCGCGCCGCTCAAGAACTTCTCCTCCCGGGTAAACGATCCAATCATTTTTCTCGCGACAGTTTCTGAATATTAAGGCCCTCTTCGGAGGTACTCTGCTCCACAGCTCCACTCCCGGAGCTGGTGGAGTTATAGTTGAAATTTGCGGAGTGCCAGTTTACTGGCTCCGCAGCTCTCCGGAGCTGGTGGGATTCCGAACGGCCCCTAACTCTCAACTCTGCCGACTGACGGGACCAACTGACCGCCATTGCAGCTCGCGGCGCTGGACTTCATCGCGTGCGCCTCGTCGGACGTGTTCGCGGTGACGGACTCCGGCAGCCAGCTGTCGTCTCTCGTGTCGGGGCACCGCGTGTACCACGGCAGGGGCCGCGCGCCGACGCTGCACCCCAACCGGAAGCGGTACGCGCAGATCCTGTCCGAGGAGGGCGGCATCGAGTGGGCCGGGTTCCAGAAGAGGGTGAGGACCATGGTGGACGAGTACAAGCGGGTCCGCGCCCGGCCCAGGGGCCGGACCGTCTACCGGCAGCCCAGGACGCCCGGGTGCATGTGCAGGGGCGATGACGACGGCAGCGTCGACTTCTGAATTTTCTGTTTCTGATGACACGATGGCCATTCTTCTTTTTTGCAGCTATTTGTTTCGTTCTTTTGTGCATAACTTTAACTTGTAATATTTTCTATAGCTCTAGGAACATGGCAGGTTCAGTTGAGAGGTATAGTGTACATGCAGTTTGATAGATTGTAACAGAGGGGTTTTGCTGGGGAGAGTTGTACAGAAAGTGACATCATGCTTAATTATGTCTTACGAATATTATTTCCTTTCGAATGGTATGAGATATACGACGAAATTTCAGGGATTTTTTCTCAAAAAATCTCGTCACAATGTTTACACCGGCGAATAAAGATCACCGGGTACGCCTAACCAGACATGGCGGCTTACCCCTAAATGTAGCATGCTTTGCTAGATTATGAGCCTCAAAATTCGAACTACTAAACTCAGGAACAAAATTACACAAATTAGAACTACTATAGTACTCTATGATTTCATGTCTAATAGCTTTGTATACAGCCGCACTCTGGTTTTTTATGTCGTCTACCACCACCTTGCAGTCCGACGTGGCATGGACCCATTGCAAATTTAGGTCCTCTAAGAGAACCAAAGCTTCTCTAACTACAAGTGCTTTGACTATCACAGGGTCAATGATTCCCTTTGTTATGATAGTCGAAGCTCCAAAAGACGTGTCGTTATGATCTCTACGATTGGGGCAGCAGACCCCATGCTAGCACACCTCATGAGCGCAACATGGACATTCACCTTGGCTAGGGATCCACTGAATTGGTCGAGCTAGTTGAACCGTTCAAAATGACGGAAAAACACACAGAGCATCCCCTGACTGGGTCGGCCCATATTAGCGAACAAGCCAGCGCTTCATGTAGCTAGCTAGAAGTTTTCTCCTACATGGAAATGTTTTCTTCCAACAGCAAGTGGGTTTTTGTTTCACAGGTTTTCAGTCACTTTTTGTATTTTATTTTCAATATAGTATTTAACTGTTTTCAAAAGTGAACACAATTTGCAATTTGAGAATATTTTTGTAAAAACGTGATTTTTAATACTTTTGTGAACAGTTTTTTAAAATATGAACATGTGTTTAGTTGGTGGACATTTTTTAATAACGAGGAAACTTTCTTCAAACTTTTTGCAAGTTTTAAAAAATATGAAATTTTTTTGGAAATTGTGAAAATACAAAAAAATAACCTTCTAGAAGCTTTCCAGAACTGAAATAGTCCGGAAATACTTTTTATTAAAATGGATAAAAGAGGATGTATCTAGAATTCTAGATGTATTTTAGTTCTAGATACATTTCTTTTTATCCATTTTGATAACAAGTATTTTCGGACGGAGGGAGTAATACGCTATGTCAGCAAATTGACGCAATTAGCATCAAATAGGATTTGCCGAAATTTCTGAGCTGGTGGATACATGGTCATGAGGCTAAGGTCATCCCGGAGCCCACACAAAACGACGCCGACCCAAGGCTCCAGCCCGAACTGGGCTGGCCAGTAACCACTTACCACGTCAAACTAATGTCAGGATGAACTTGTGCATACTTTTTATTTTTGTTTTAGGCTTTTCCTTCACATTTCTTCTTTGTTTATTTTAATTTGTTTATATTTAGAAATATTATATATATATATATAATAAACACTTAACATATAATTTTGGAAAATGTAAATCTTGCATTTGAAAAAATGTTAAACGTGTGGAGAAAAATATTAAACATTTGGAAACAAATGTTTCTGATGTATACAAAAAATGTACAACATGAATGAAAAATAGAAATATTTATCATGTGTACTAAAAATGTTAAATCATGTGTACAAAAAATGGTAGTCATGTGTACGAGACAAATATTTACGACAATTAAGAAATGTCTCACATTTCAAAAAACCGTAGGTGAAAATTATAGAAAATGATTATACAATGTAAAAAAATCGTTTATATTAGAAAAACTGTTATGTACATTCAAAAGAATGTATATCATGTTTTAAAAAATACACACAAGTTTCAAAATCTGTTTGTGACATTTTAATAAATAAAAATGTACAATATACAAGAATGTTTGCATAGTTCAAAAATATATTTTCAGATCATTTGGAAAATGTTTCAAAATGTATTTAAAAAACGTTGGACAAGTATTCTGAAAAATATATTCAAAACATGTTTGAAAAAAAGTTTAAACATGTATTTTAAAAAATGTTAAATGTGTATAAAAATGTGTTGCATGTATAAGTAAAACATACAACCTGTATGAAAAAGGAAGTATAAATTTTCAAAAAACAAAAAACAAAGAAAACCGACAAAAAATAAAGAAAAGAGAAGAAACAAAAAAGCAAGAAAGAAACAAAAGGAAATCAAAGTATAAATAATAAAAATAAACCGTCAAAAACAAAGAAAAACCGAAAACATAGTGAAGAAAGAGGGGGAAACGAAGAAAACTGGTGGGAAAATACAAAGAAAAAAATAAATAAAACAAAGAAAACCAGACTATGCGGAAACTATGTGGACCGAAACAGCAACCTGACACGCAAGGAGTGAAGGCATCGCGCGCGACAGACAACTAATGGGCTGGCCCGCCGTCACCAGCGCGTAGGCAATAGCTATTAGGAATCGGTACGGGCCCAGCCGGATGAGATTCCTTTCGTCCATGTAAACGGTGTGATGGTTTAATAAAATGCCTTGCGAGGTTGCCTAAAAAAAAGGAATCGGTACGGGCAAAAAATGCCCTGACAACGTACGACGTCCATCTCCTTGAGATGGGTGACTTCAATTTGTAGATTTCACAAGGAGGCTGGCATGGTGAAAGTTTTTTTCTTTTTTGCAACATTTTTGTGACTTGAGCATGATTGGTTTAGGTTGGTTACCAAAATTTGGCTGCAAATTGGTTGGCTACCAATATACTTTCCTAACCTATGAAGACTTGTCAAATTGCTTCATTTTATGCCAACTAGTGATTGGGGCGTTATCCTGCGGCGCCGCTTGGCTGTGCGCACATTTCCATTTTAAAAAATACATAGAGTCCTCGCCCCGTCTAGAAAAACATTAAAAAAATCCTCACCTTCATCTAAAAAGAAGTAAAAAAGAAGAAAAAAGAAAAAATTATCACAACAGGCTACCAGTGAGTGCCACTTTGAATACCCGTCATATAAAAAGGGAAACGTTTCACGACGGGGCACCGGCCGAAGCTTCGGCCGGTCGCGTCCACGCGTGAACGTACCGAGCGACTCACCTAGCGACACGTAGGATGGAGGGCCCGCCCACGTGCGTCTTCTCCCTCCTGTTTATCTTCTTCCCGTCGCTTGTCTCTCTCTCTCTCCGCTGCCATGGCCAAGCTTCGCCGGCCGGAGACCTCCCAGGGCGCCGCCGCCATGGGAATCAGCGGATCCGGCTGCCCTCGGCCAGATCTGCTCGGATCCGCGCCACCAGATCTGCTCCCGATCCCCTCTTTTCTCTCTCAGCCTAGCGCGCTGCTGGCCCTCTTCTTCCTTCCTCGGATCCCGCCGCCGGCCAGCCCAATCCCGTGCAGGTCCCCTCGCCCCCCCTCCCCCCCTATACAAGTTCCCCCCGCACCGGCGAGCCTGAGCTAGAAGCCGCCATGCAACTGAAAAAGCTACAACCGTTCATGCGAAAGCTTCAAACTGTATTTGAAAAAGCTTCAATCGACGAAATAGATAAGTTTCATGCGAACACTACGAAAGAAAAAAAGCTACAACCATCGGCTTGGAAAGCTTCAACTGTGAATTGAAAAGCTTCAACCCGCTTTATACAAGGCTTCAACCAACTGTATAGAAAGCTTCACCCCCAGGAGTACACAACGAAAAAAGATGCAATTGTCGACATGAAAAGCTTCAACCGCATTTCTGAAAAGCTTCAACCGTAATTCTGAAAAGCTTCAACCGTATTTCTGAAAAGCTTCTACCAGAGACCGCGACAAAAAGCTTCAACCGTATTTCTGAAAAGCTTCAACCGTAATTCTGAAAAGCTTCAACCGTATTTCTGAAAAGCTTCAACCAGAGACCGCGACAAAAAGATTCAACCGTATTTTTGAAAGCTTCAACCATAATTCTGAAAAGCTTCAACCGTATTTCTGAAAAGCTTCAACCAGAGACCGCGACAAAAAGCTTGAATCAGCAACTCACTATTGATGCAACTGACTACTACGGTGGCTTCCCGGCGGAGCTGCAACGGCGACGAACTCCAGGCACCGGCAGGGGTCGATTTTTGTTTGCTGGGGTCCATTTTTTTGCTGCATCAGAGGGGCGGGGGCCATGGGGCACCTGTGCTCCAACTGGCGAGCGGCGACGGCGAGCGGCGACAGTGAGCGGCGACGACGAGCGGTGACGGCGACGGCGAGGGCGAGCGGCGAACGGCGACGGGGATGACGACGAGGTAGATGCCCATGGCTGGGTGTGGGGTGGCCCGTGGCACTTGCCGTTGCTCGATCCGAACGCGGAAGGTAGACGATGCGGGGGAAGGGGCTCGATCTGACGGTTGGTAGTCAGTGCATCGGACGGCCTGGGCTCGACCGGCCCAACTGTTGGGCCGGCGCACCGGCGCAGATCACTGCCCATATAAAAATACCAGAGGTCCTCAGCTCCATCTAAAAAAATACATTTAAAAAATAATCCGCACCTTCATCTAAAAAAATTGTAAAAAAATTTCACCGTTGCCAACCAGCTTGCGCCACGTGGCATAGCTGGTTGGCCGCCCTTCACACGTAGCTTAATGGTTTTAATATTTGACATGCCAATGTGTTGTTGAGTGAAGAAATTAGCTACTCCCTCCCATCCATATTAATTACCGCAGCTTTAGCATTTTACTCAAGTTGCGACAATTAATATAGATTGAAGGGAGCATCATTGTTTCTTGATAATCTGTAAAGAGGCTGCAACTTTTGGTTTTGCTAAAAGATGACATGCAAAATGCTGTTATCAAGTCAAACTGTCTCAGAATTTTGGCTAGCCACGTTTTAGTAACCGACCAATCATGCTCAAGTTACAAAATCTTGCAAGATCTTTTCTGAGTAA